TCAAAGTTAAAACTGGTTTCGCCTACATTCACAATCTCTGAGAGTCAGATGGGCTTATACAGTATTATAGAGTTGGTTAACTACTTTTTAAATGTTTTTAAAGTTTTCCATTGAAATATTTTTGTCAGGCCTTGGGTCCCACTTAATTCTGACTAGCAGGCGGAATGTGAAAATGCAGTGGGGCTGGGTGCGGTGACTCACGCCTGTAATCCCAGCACTTTGGGAGGCCTCCGTGCACAGATCACCTGAGGTCAGGAGTCTGAGACCAGCCTGGCCAACACGGTGAAAACTTGTCCCCCCTAAAAATACAAAAAATAGCCGGGTGTGGTGGTGGGTGCCTATAATCTCAGTTACTCAGGAGAGGCAGGAGGCTGAGGCAGGAGAATCACTTGAATCTGGGAGGTGGAGGTTGCAGTGAGCCAAGATCGCAACTTTGCACTCCAGCCTGGGTAACAAGAGAAAATCTCCATCTCAAAAAAAAAAAAAAAAAAAAAAAAGAAAGTGCAGTGGTTACATTCAGCAGCCACAGGGCTGTTCCTCCCCATCCTGCATGTCTTCCCCTGTTCTCCAGCATGCACTGCCTACGATGTGCTGTGGTAGTTTTATTTCCACAAGTCATTCTAGCATTTCCTGTCCTGAGGAGCCCTAATTTAGATTTCACACAGAGGCTGACGCTGTTCTCCTCACTTTGACAGTGGTAGGAAGAGAAATGATGTATCCTGTGCCTAGGAGAGCACCTGGAAAGTGGCAGACACTGAGTATCTGCTGTGGAATGAGATGAATGATTGGAGGGATGCATGGGTTTAGAGAAACACACGATCTGTCTTTCTCTTCTCAGTTACTTGCTCCTTTATTCCAGCCTCCTCTTACTGGCATTGAGAAAGAGGATGAGGAGGTAGATATCTGGCTTTCCAGAAAGAAAGATTTTAAGCAGGATAGCATCCATTTGCTTTCTTTTCCTTCTAATGATATTAAACAGAGATACAGAATAGAAATGAATAATGTTAAGGCCAAGCACAGTGGCTCACGCCTGTAGTCCCAGCACTTTGGGGAGGTCAAGGAGGGCAGATCATGAGGTCAGGAGTTTGAGACTAGCCTGGCCAATATGGTGAAATCCCATCTCTATTAAAAATACAATTAGCTGGGCATGGTGGCACGCGCTTGTAGTCCAAGCTACTTGGGAGGCTGAGGCAGAAGAATCCGGTAGGCAGAGGTTTCAGTGAGCCGAGATCGTGCCACTGCACTCCAGCCTCGGCAACAGTGTGAGACTCCATCTCAAAAAAAAAAAAAAAAAAAAAAAAAGAATAAAGTAGGTTGGATTTAACAGGAAACAGGGAAGAGGAGCTGTGGTGAATTGTGAAACACATTCACTCAGCAACACCGAGGTGGAGGCAATGAAACTAACTTTGTTATAGACAGGGGGGTTCATGATGGGTTCTTCACACTCTTGCCTGGTTTCTCAGTGGCCAGTCAGTGATGAGGATGAGCACCATAGCCCATGGCCGCAGGAAGGAAGCCCACTTCAACTTCAGCAACATGACTGTATGCTCTTTGCTCACGAGGTATTGGTACACCCAAACCTAATTATTAAGGACTTTTTGGCCAAGAAGGAGGTCATGCAACTGGAATGGGCCAGTGGAGGTTGGTGACACAAGTTAGTCCTTGGTGAATGAAGTCATTAGAATCAACAGCTGTGCTTTCCTTCAATTTCCACCTTGGTTGGGCCTGTAAAGAAAATGGTATAGAGTAACATTCCCTATTTACTGTTCTTTGCCCTCTGATGTTTGCTGACTCATTCATTCTTGTACTCAACAAATATTTCTTGAGCACTCAATAAGGCATCAGGCACTATCCTAGGTACTATAGATGTAACATAGAACAAAACAAAGTCCCTGTCCCCCGGGAGCATGCAGTCTTTTATGAGGACCTGGTGACATATATCATGTGACGGAACTTTTTTGAAAAGCTGGCAAGTCATCATTCTATCCCAGCTCTCAGAATTATGCCAGTGGCTGAGTTAGATGGCAAAAGAGAAGCGGTAATTGAGACTGTTGGGGGAAATCAGGCAGAGGGATCACATTTTTGAGGAATATCAAAAGTTCCATGGTGGCCCTAGAAGAAAAGTCCTCATGGTTGCTGCTTCTGGTGTACTCCCTGTGGCATTCTAAGGTGGTTCTTCTCACTGCCTTACAATTCTCTGAGCATGTTCATTTCAGCTTTGCTCTGGAACTCTTTTGGAATTGGTGAGGAGTCTCAGGATGTCCAGTTGGAAATGCAACCCTCAGGGTGTTTTATTCCCTAACTCAGGAAGCACCAGGGGCTGAAGAGTAAAAATGCTTCACTTCATGTTCACCTACTTGCACATATCATACATAGCTGTCAATGAACGTTTCATTGTGCTCTATTCTGAACCATCTGCATTTAATTCTACTAAGGAAATGAAAGCTGTTGGACCTGTTACTAAGGATACTTGTCCGAATCTGCTCTATTGTTTATTTCCTGTATTGGTACATGTTTAGCCAGCTAACCATGTAAAGGAATTACACCACTGCCTTCCACCTCTTATTAAAAAAACTCTTGAAAAGTTTGGTTCAAATCTCAGTCTTGTAAATGTTTACTTCTGGACAATTTGATCATTCATTCATGAAAGAGAAGCAGTGTGACATGCCTAGGAAACTATACACTTTGTAATATGCCATAGCCTCTTCAAGCAAATCAAGAATACCAAGATTCACTCAGATAAGAAGTTAGTTTTTAGTTCACTGGCTTCTTCAGAGAGACTCACAAGATGCCTCATTATTTTTATGATTTATTTCTGGGCTTCTCACATATGCCTGTCATACAGCCAAACGTGAGCTGATGCTGATAATAGTTTACTGGCCATGGAGAAAATCCTCAGGCTTGATGGAACTCCAGGATGATACCAAATGAACAGCAAGGAACATCAGGATGCCAAAAAAGTCCTTATTTACAGAGAAAAGGAGGCTGGCTGCTTATGTAGAAATAGATGAAGAAATAGATGCCTCTTAAAAGTATTGAAATAATCCTGCAAAGTGTATTGCCATAATTTGACAATACAGTGATAACACATTTTAAGGTAACAAACTCAATAATTTAGTAAGAATATAAAATGGAAAAACAGTTAAATATCCAGAACTTATCAATCACAATTCATTTTTTACAGGAATGTCAATCAATGAAAAGCTTAAATACATATTTATAAGCTTGCAGGCCAAATATTATGTTAGAAATACATAATGTATGTACTGTTCAATCCACATATACATGTATAAATATATGCATATACACACATATGCAAGTTAAGTCTTGAATGTCATATTTTGGATACTTCTGAGTAAACTTATGAGCTTCTGCTTGATGTGGAGCAAAGCACATCACATATACCTAAAGTCAAATTTTTGGGTATATAAACACTACTATTTAATACCTAGACAGTTATACGTTATTGAGTTTCTAGTTCAGGATAAACACCTTCTGTCAAAGACTGAGTCAGAAATTCATAACTCTCAGATAGGAAGTTAAGACACCTGTATTCTGATCCTGGCTTTACGTACAGGCATTTGGGGCATATTTTTTTTTTTTTTTTTTTTTTTTTTAAAACCTCTCAAGGGTCTAACTTTGCCCATCATAAAATGATCTTGGTGTAAGGGTAGGGGCACATTTTATTTATTTAGGATACCATGCAGATGCAACCTAGCCCCATTCTTTACACAAAGTAGATTATCTGTGCATTTCTTCTGCATTGATATTGAATGCAGGACAACTGGGGACAACTCATTCCATTTGGCAATAATCTTTAATGAACAGGCAATATATAACATTTCTGAAAGTCTCTAAGCACTCATTTAATTTTATAAAATGACTGTTACCATCAAAGACAGTGCCTAATTCATAAAGTAGTTATGAGGACTAAGTAAGGTAGTAAATGGAATGTGTTTAGAACAGAGAATAGCATATAGTAAGCACTCCAATTTTAGTGGTGATGATGATAGTTATTATTATCACTATTATCATATACTATGCTGGTAACTAGAATAAAAGTTAAAACAGCCAGCCAGGTACGGTGGCTCATGCCTTTAATCCTAGCACTTTGGGAGGCCAAAGGCAAGCAGATCACCTGAGGTCAGGAGTTCAAGACCAGCCTGACCAGCATGGTGAAACCCCATCTCTAATAAAAATACAAAATTAGCCAGGCATGGTGGCACATGCCTGTAATACCAGCTACTTGGGAGGCTGAGGCGGGAGACTCGCTTGAACCCAGGAGGTGGAGGTTGCTGCGAGCTGAGATCCCACCATTGTACTCCAGCTTGGGCAACAAGAGTGAAAAACTCTCTCTCAAAAAAAACCAGCCATGGTCTCTGCTTCAGTAGGATTTAGATTCACACAATATATGGGTTGCAAATGCATAGTTAGGACATATATATATAAGAAATGGGGCTGTGGCAGTGATATCAGTAGACCCCCACGCCTGGCTAGAGAAAACAGAGACAACTTGGCCCCAGTAGGTTGTTACCTTCTGGGAATGAGGACCATTGTTGCCAAATCTTGCTTTTAAAGAGAAGTTAGCAACTTGATTATGTAATATCTCCCAACTTGTAAGAACGGACAATAAATGTAAATTAATAAAACAAATGTTCTGTGGGCTAAAAGCAACTGCATGTTGATGGTTCCTAGAAGTGCCAGTCAACTTCTTGACATGCTGGCTATAATATCTCCAATTCTCCACTTTTTGAGATGGCCCGAACAGATGTGGGCAAAGCTTACTTGTCAATTGATCTTTAATTCTCAGCTCCCCCACAAAATGCACAGAATTTATAAGCTGGGAGCTTGCAGGGCAAATATGATTGTTAGAGACTATCTCTTCAGTGACACAGAGGCACAAATAGGACCAACGGGGTGGACTGGCCAGGACTCATATGACAAGGCTTTAGACAACTACCTTTTGCCAGAAAACACAAGGACACTATAGAGCACAGATAGGTGAAGAGTTTAACACAATTTATTTTATGCTTAAATAATCGACTAGGTCATCCAGTGTATGGTTTTTCATACATATGTCATTAGAGTTATGTGTCAATGAATGCTGATTTTATGTGAATATAATCAACAAATTAAAGAATTTCACCAAAACCCAAATAAAAATGCCCTTTAAAACACAGCAGCCTTATTAACCTAATATGACACTGCTAAAATGGTTACAAATGATTGGCTTACTGAAATGTGTCTACATCTTATAGCCAGTACACAATACAGTAATAATTTTACAGCGTGCTGCCATTCTACTAGCTAAGGATTTCTGTTCAGTCCATTTTAAATACCCCCGACTGGGGCCTCTTATGAGCACCATCCACCTCTAAAGCGGCAAGCATTTACCCCCTTTTAAGCACTAACAGATAGCACCCCCCCACCCCCTAAAGCAACTACCGTATAGGTTATTTTTTTTTGTTTGTTTTTAGATCATTTCATTGAAAAATTGGCAATAGCAACAAATATTAGATGAAGGGCTTTGTGTTTACAGATAAAATCTTTTGTGTTGCAGTATACTGTAGTGTTTGCAAAATTGGAAAAGATTTAATCAAAATAAGGTGATACACATGCATCAAAATATTAGTATTCTGAAGAAAAAATTTTTTCACAGAACTACAGAATTCCTCATTTTGGGAATTATTTAAATTTGCAGCAGATTTTAAAGGTTTGTTTTTTTAAAATCAAGCTAGCAGTTTTGCATATACAAACATTATAATTGCTAATATACAAGAATCAGTGAAGAGTCCCCCTCCCCCGCCCCCAAACCCTGCCCTCCTCTTCTAGGGTGAAGTCACTTGAGACCCCTATTTGTTAAATGCATTTGCAATATTCTCTTTGTGTTCTAAGAGGCAGTGCCTTATCAACATTTTATTCTATTTTTCTGTTAGAATTTATACAGTGTTACTATTTACAGCAAAACTATCGATGTTTTAAAAAAGAAACAAATAGTGTTTATACCCTGACAGTTTGGGTCCAAGAAAAATAAGGCGAGCTGTTGTAGATTTAGTAATTTTAGTGTTTCTCTGTGACTTGATCATTCCATCTCCTCTGTTCCTTCTGATGGCAGGAATTTCTTCCTTTTGTAAATGACACCAAAATCACTTGAGATAAACTGTTAACAGCATGGCTTCTTGTATATACACTGCATTGCTAATTGCACACGCGCCAATCCGGAAATGAAAGTGATTTCCATGCTCTGTACATTGGCTCATGCTAAATTAAAATGTGGGTGGTTTTCTTTTTTTCTTTTCTTTTTGCATAAAAAAAATCATGCCATTAATGTGTGGAAGCAGCGAACATAGACACGCTTCTCGGTGAATTTTTACTTCCTGCTGACATTTCTTCCATGAATTTCTCAATACTGGCAGTAAAAACTTGTGATCCTGTGGAGAGAGAGAGACAGTAGATAGCAAGTTTAGCTTTCTTTTTCTTTTTTTCTCTCTCTCCCCCACCCTTTTTATTTTTTTAGGAGAACCAGTGTAAGCCTTACTTGCCATTCAATAGAAAAGTCTTAGAGAATAGAGGCCCTCCATTCCCTATGGGGTGGTTTAACATGATGCTGCTACCTCCTAGATGCCTTAGAGGACAAGGCCCTAAGGTGTACTGGAAAGCTCTTAGAAGGCAGTGACCTTATGTAGGTGACCCTGTGACCTCCAGAGAGCCTTGCTTATTACTGTATTTGTGTTTTGTAATTGCACCAGGCGAACCTGGTTCAACTTTTATGTAACAAAGTTGTGAGTTGTTTTTGGGTTGCCAGAGACCCTCTCCCAGCCCCCACAGATGGAAGGTCACATAACCTGAGCATGACCAGATAAACTAAATGTGCAACCATGGGAGGAACCTAAGTTCTCAGACTGAGGAGCTGATTAAGAAGCCTATGCCTCATGGCAGGATCCAATCAGACAGAGCCGTGGTGTCACCCCATTGCAGGATCCAGTCAGATCATGCCTTCTGGCAGTCACCTCATTGCAAGAGCCAATCGGATCATGCGTCATAACCCTATGCTTCTAAAATCTGACCCAGCCCCCAGCTTGGAGAGATAGATTTGAGTGTTTCCTTCAGTCTCCTTGTCAGTCAAGTGGCAATACATCTTTCTCCTGCAAAAACCTGGTGTTTGGTGTTTGGTGTTTGACTTTCCACTGTGCATGGGCAAACACCTTAGTTTGGTTTGGTGATGGTTTTACAGATTGTGTTGGCAAGATCCTCTTCTAGTTCTGTCTGAAGCTCAGGTCACTCAGCTACTTGGGGAAGCCATTTGTAGCCCTTTGGGCCTTAGTCTTATCTGTAAAATGAGGTGGCTGAGGGAGGTAATCTCTGAGACTTCTCCTCTCAACATCAAAATGTAAGGGGGTTGGGACTTCCATGAGCAAAAAGGGCCAGAGATATGGAGTTAGGCTAGAGCATCTCGGCTATTTCTGGTTATTTTGTAAGTCTCTCACTTCTCCAAAAATTCAACCAAAGGAGGAAAAGTATCATTACTTCATTACGATGATATTTCTTTTCCATAAGCAAATTAAAATTAAAGACATTAATTTTAATGTCTTTAATTTAATTAATTTAATTAATCTCTACCACTGCAAAGAACGTTCGCCTCTCTTGTCCATATCAGTCATAATGGGACAAATTAATTTTATTTGAGCTTTTTAATGGAGGCTTCACTGAGAAAGTCTTGTTTTGCTGGAGGATTCCCGCATAAAGCATCAGTGTTTTATTTCCAGTATTAGTGTGTCACACTAAATCATTCTTTGGCAGATGTTTTCATAATTTTGTGTACTATTGTTGTGGTAGGAATTTGGCTTTTCCATAAAACAAAGTACTTCCTATATATTGTCTCTCCTCCTTGTTCAGTAGAAAAGCTGACAAACTTGAATGCCTGCCTGAGAACAAGATACAGCTCCTACAGAAATCCTGAGTAAGGCAAGAACAATTTTAAGAATAACTCTGCTCACTCACATATAAGCAACAGACTGTATTTGCAAATCTAGGACAACCTTTAGAATTCTGCTTCTCTTGGGGCCCAAAAGTGTTTCTAGTGACCTTGATGATGTTTACTTACCTCAGACAAGTATCTTCCTCTTTAGATGGGTCACCTAGGACACCCTGGCTTATAGAAACCTGTTGGCACAGCACTTCCTCTCTCTGCCCCACAACAGGCCCTGGCTTCCTTTTTAGTATTAAAAGTGCTACTGACCTCCATGCCCCAGGTCACTAATGCTTGGGGCCAAGAACATGAAGGTATCAATTCCTCTTATGCGATTTCAACACCCCTCCCCTGTGACTCTGCCGAGGTTCCAAAGAAGGAAAGTGACTCACTTGGGTAGATCATCTTGCAGAGGATGGGCAAATCAGAATGTGATGATCAGGATTTTATCACCTGTTTTTATCATTTAATCCTAATCTTTTAGGCACCAGACTTCTTAGATGGTTCTATGATAATGTTACCACAGTGCCTCACTCCTTGTTTTCTCTAAGCCCCTCTCCCTGACTTTTTGAAGCTTGATATACAATTTATATACCATATTTCAGCTATTATACACAGCTTTATAATTTTTTTTTTTCCCCGAGATGAAGTCTCACTTTGTTGCCCAGGCTGGAGTGCAGTGGTATGATCTCTGTTCACTGCAACCTCCACCTTCCGGGTTCAAGCCATTCTTCTGTCTCAGCCTCCCAAACAGCTGGGATTACAGGCATGCACCACCACACCTGGCTAATTTTTTGTATTTTTAGTAGAGACAGGGTTTCACCATGTTGGCCAGGCTGATCTTGAACTCCTGACTTCAAATGATCCACCTGCCTCGGCCTCCCAAAGTGCTGGGATTACAGGCGTGGGCCACGGTGCCTGGCCTGGCTTGATATTTTTTAACAAATTTATGTAGATGTGTGATCATCACTACAACCCACTTGAACTTTTCTTTTTCTCCATGTCTCCTAAAAACCAATCCAACTTCCCAGGTTAATTTTGTAATAAGTAGCCAGGCCTTTGTCTTCTCACCTCAATGCACGCAAATGTTATCTTTCTGGATATATTGGATATATTTATATAATTTTTAAAAATGCTGTGAATTATGCCCACTTATATTCTAGTGAGGATGGTTTGGGTGATTTATTTTTTTTAAGTGGGAGTTAGTTCCTCTTATAACTTTTTCTTTTCTTGGTTATGCAATCAAGAGCATGTTGGTTCCAACCACACTGGGTACAGGAAGGTCATTCATTGGACAAAAGACTTTATTCCAAGTACAGTGTTGCAGAAAAAGCATGAGAACCTTGGCTAAGTGACTATGTACTTGTTATAAAAATATTGATACAATATAAACTGTGATGGCAGCACCATCTGATGGGAAGGTGTGAGGGCAAAAGCCATCAAAATGACATTTCAGAAATAGAATTTTGAATCATTTCCCTTTTCTGGTTTAGATAATGAATATGAGATAGATGCACCTGCATTTAGGAATCTTTCTTTGGGTTTTGCATGACTTTCAAACCTAAAGGTGGGAGAAACTAAATCAGAAAACCAGTCTTTCAGCCATTTCACTGTATTTTTAAGAAACATTTAAAAGTAGAAGAAAACAGGGCCAGGTGCAGTGGCTCATTGCTATAATTCCAGCACTTTGGGAGGCCAACGGAGGTGGATCGCCTGAGGTCAGGAGTTCGAGACCAGTTTGGACAACATGGTGAAACCTAGTCTCTACTAAAAATACAAAAATCAGCTAGGCATGGTTGTGGCTACCTATAATTCCAACTTAGGAGACTGAGGCAGGAGAATGGCTTCAACCCGGGAGGCGGAGGTTGCAGTGAGCTGAGATCATGCCACTGCACTCCAGCCTGGATGACAGAGCGAGACTTAGTCTCAAAAAACAAAACCAAACCAAAAAAACCAACACAAAACCTGCAATTCATTGGATTTTCATAGCAGTTGATACTTTACAGTTAAATATGTACTTCATACATCATATTTAAGGATAGGAGACCGTTTTTAAAACTAGGTATTCTGACCTGATGAAGAGGAGCATGCTCTGGTACAGAACTGACTTGTCCTTTATAAGCCAATGAACATAGCTGTGGCTTTTAGATCCTAATGCCTAGCTTTAAAAAGGGTCTCCTATCTTTATTTGGTATCTGAACCTTTCTGTGGTCCAGCCCAGTGAAACTTTTTAGGCTTAATTCCCACTATTCTCCACTGAAAAGTTGTTTTGCAATCTCCAGCGGTTCTCAAACTTGGTTGCACATTAGAATTATCTGGGAAGATTAAAACAATAACAATATCCAGGCTACATCCCATAAGAGTATACATAGAATTTTTGGGGATGGTGCGCAGCATTAGAAATTTTTTAAAACTCTTGATAATTTGATTGGGAATGGTGGCTCACACCTATAATCCCAGCACTTTGGGAGGCTGAGGTGGGTGGATCACGAGATCAGGAGTTCAAGACCAGCCTGGCCAAGATGGTGAAACCCCGTTTCTACTAAAAAATAGAAAAATTAGCTGGGTGTGGTGGCAGGCACCTGTAATCGCAGGCTCTTGGGAGGTTGAGGCAGGGAATTGCTTGACCCTGGGAGACGGATGTTTCAGTGAGCTGAGATCGCACCCAGCTTGGGTGACAGAGAGAGACTTCATCTAAAAAAAAAAAAAAAAACTCGATAATTTGAGAGCCAGTCAAATGTTCTGGAGCAGTGCTTCTCAAAGTTTAATGTGCATTACACAGGACTCTTCCAGTGTAGATTCTGATTCAGTAGGTCAGTGTTTCTGAAATTCTGTTTCGATTTTTTTTTTTTTTTTTTTTTTGAGACAGAGTCTCATTCTGTCGCCCAGGCTGGAGTGCAATGACACAATCTCAGCTCAGAGCAACCTCTGCCTCTTGGGTTCAAGCAATTCTCCTGCCTCAGCCTCACTAGTAGCTGGGATTACAGACATATGACACCACGCCTGGCTTATTTTTTGTATTTTTAATCTGTAAAATAGTTAACCTGTAAAATACAAAAAATTAGCCAGGCTGGTGGCATGTGCCTGTAATCCCAGCTACTGAAATCCCTGAAATCACGAGGTTTCACCATGTTGGTCAGGCTGGTCTTGAACTCTTGAACTCAGGTGATCTGCTCTGCTCGTCTCGGCTTCCCAAATAGCTGGGATTATAGGAGTGAGGTACTGCGCTGGGCTGAAATACTGTGTTTACAACAGACTTTTAGGCATGCTGATTCTGCGGTCCACAAACCTCACTTTGAGGATCTAGATTACATGCCAGGTATTAACTCCAAATTGTTTTCTAACTTCATTGTCTTTGCTCATGATTTTGTATCCATCTATACTTATACTTCCCTTCTCTGATCATTGTCTGTGGCTAATTCCTCTGCTACCCTTCAAATTTGTTTCAAATGCCATCTCCTTGAATGTTTAGACTTCACTTTCCCTAATGAAATCCACATTTGTAGTTCAACTCTTACTCATCTTTAAGACTTAGCTGTGTCATGGCTTAAGGAAAGCCTGAGCCCACTGGGGACAGAGCGGTGTTTACTCTAGTTCTCTGTTTCTCTCCCTACCCACCTCTTCCTTTCCCTTCTCTTCTCTTTTTCCTTCTCTGTAGTTACAGAAGTCATGGGACTAAGACATTTTCCCAAACATTAGTTTTAATTACTTTATGTAACTACAATAAACTACTGTGCAGTTTCAGGTAGCTTTGTTGTTTCACTAGTACCAATAAATAGGGCTTTTTTGTTTGTTCTTTTCTATTCATTTGCTATTAAAAAGTATCTGAAGTCAAAGGGCTGGAAAAAAAATACTGAAAAAATGTTCATTCATATTTTGGCAGTGAAAGAAAAACGTAACAGTAATAAAATTTTGTAGCTATTATTTTTATTAGGTAAAGATATTTATTCTAAACTGTTCTAAAGTGGGGTAGCTAATTTAATAAGTGACGTACTATTATTTTCTCCATTTTATAGATAAGACAGCCATAAAGCATTTTTTTTTTTAAATTAATTTTTTTCGAGAGAGTCCTGCTCTGTCACCCAGGCTGGAGTACAGTGCCACGATCTTGGCTCACTGTAACCTCTGCCTCCTGGGTTCAAGCGATTCTCCTGCCTCAGGCTCCTGAGTAGCTAAGACCCCAGGTGTGCACTACCACGCTTGGCTAATTTTTGACTTTTTAGTACAGATGGGTGGGGTTTCACCATGTTGGCCAGGCTGGTCTCTAACTTCTGACCTCAGGTGATCTGCCTGCCTTGGCCTCCCAAACTGCTGGGATTACAAGTGTGAGCCACTGTACCTGGCCAAAAAGAAAGCCACAAAGCTGTAGTGGAGCCAGAATTGGAAATCAAGCCACCTGATTCTAGAACCCTTGCTCTTACCTTGAAGCCAAGGCTTTTGTTAATAGGGATTTTTTAAGGGTAAGAAAAATATAATATAAAAACTCTATATTTACTCTAGAAGAAATCCGGTAAAATATTCTGGAGGGTGGGGTCCTGAATTTGCAGTGAAGCAATTCAGGCCATAGCTCTGACCTCTGAGAATCAGAATCAGGAAATCCAGACCTGTCTTTAACTGCACTCAGCCTTAGAGATTTTGCTGTCTCTCTGTTACTGTTCATTCCTTAGTAAAGAGGAAGAAGAATACACTTCACTAATTTCCTAGGGCTACTATGAGAAACAAGTGATGTGGAATAATAAAAACTTTTCTGAAGTATAAGCCACCATCACATGCAGAGGGTTTCAGACACTGCTGTTCTCACTTCTCCCACTGTTGTATTCTAGCATCACTGGCTGCTGCTGCTTAGTCCACGAGCCTCCATAATCCAAAGCTCTTCAAGGTTCAATTCTTGGTTCTCTTAATACTAGTAGTAATAGCTGACACTTACCGAGTGCTTACTAAGGAGGGTCATGGTTGGAGCTCTGCAGGAAGGAAGAGGTCAGAGGCAATCTTTTTAAACTCTGAAATGTTGCTTTTGAGGACTCATTTTTGAGTCCCTTCTTGGCTTACTTCAGCTTTCTCCCTAAATAATCACATCTCTTCTCTGGTGTTCAATACCCATTTCTTAAGTGACGATTCCCACATTTTTCTATGCATAGCCCCAACTTTTTCTCAGAGCTCCAGACTTGGGTATATAACGTAAATACTTGGATGTCTCATAGCATTTCAAACTCAAGTCCAAGCCTGAATGCCTGTACTCTTCTTAAAACTCATTCCTCTTCCACTTCTGCTTCTTTCTCTATCATCTAGTTGCTTACACCAGAAATCTAGGAGTCATTTTTGACTCAATGCTTCTTCTCCACTGTACCCCACAAGCTAATCTATCAAGTGCTTGTGGGGTACAGTGGAGAAGAAGCATTGAGTAATTCTTCCCAGCCGAAGCCATCATTATGGCTTAGTTGAACTGAAGCAATAACCTCCAAACTGGTTACCTTCATTTTATTCTTGTCCCCCTATCCATTTTCTACATAGTGCATGCTCTTCAAGTTTTTTAAGAGAGGGAGGAAAGAAGACCAAGTTAGGTCCTTGCTTAAAATCCTTCAGAGGCTTCGAATACTTCTAAACACACACACAATTATTTTAAGTTCAAGGGTACATGCGCAGGTTTGTTACAGATTATTCTGTCATCCAGGTACTAAGCCTAGTACCCGATAGTTACTATTTCCTATCCTCTCCCTCCCCTCACCGTCCACCCTCAAGTAGGCCCCAGTGTCTGCTGTTTCCCTTTTTGTGCCCATGTGTTCTCATCATTTAGCTTCCACTAAATGAGAACAGCAGTATTTGGTTTTCTGTTCCTGTGTTAGTTTGCTCAGGATAATGGCCTCTAACTCTATCCATGTCTGCAAAGGACACAACCTCACACTTTTTTAATAGCTGCATGGTATTCCATGGTGTATGTGTGTGTACCACATTTTCTTTGTGCAGTCTATCATTGATGGGCATTTAGGTTGATTACATGTCTTTGCTATTATGAATAGTGCTGCATGAACATACGTGTGTATGAGTCTTCGTGATAGAACAATTTATATTCCTTTGGGTATATACACCCAGTAATAGGATTGCTGGGTTGAATGTTAGTTGTGTTTTTAGCTCTTTGAGGAATTGCCACACCACTTTCCACGATGGTTGAACTAATTTACACTCCCATCAACAGTATATAAATGTTTCCTTTTCTCTACAGCCTTGCCAGCATCTGTTATTTTTCTAGGCAGTGAAACTGGATTACTTCCTAGTTCCTTCCCTCAGCACTCCACATACCAGTGTTCTGGTAAGCAGGGAACAGCAGATGCATGAAAGTGAAAACTAGAATCTGTTTGCTCTTTCTTACTACTTTAACCTGTGGGGCTAAGAGGACTGTAGGTGAACTAAAGACATGATTTTACTTTGCCTTACAGACTATAGAGGACTTTTTTCCCCCACCCCAAATGGCCTTTCTAAATGTAGCTAAGTAGAAAGAAATAGGACAAAGTAAAATGCAGAAAACAATGTAAAAGGGCCGGGCACAGTGGCTCACGCTTGTAATCCCAGCACTTTGGGAGGCCGAGGAGGGCGGATCACGAGGTCAGGAGATCAAGACCATCCTGGCCAACATGGTGAAACCCTGTGTCTACTAAAATACAAAAAATTAGCTGGCTGTGGTGGTGCATGCCTGCAGTCCCAGCTACTTGGGAGACTGAGGCAGGAGAATCGTTTGAACCTTAGAGACAGAGGTTGCAGTGAGCTGAGATTGCACCACTGCACTCCAGCCTGGCGACTGACCGAGACTCTGCCTCAAAAGAAAAGAAAAGAAAGAAAACAATGTAAAGGAAAATAATGTGACCTATAAAGAAAAGTCCAGGCAAATGTAAACAAAGCTCACTTACTAAACATTTAACTTAACAAATAGTAGTGTCACTAACATCCTATTTTTTCCTTTTGTTTATATAAAACACTAGATAGATATGTCAGTCATTTAATGTAGACTTGGAAACTCACTTTATTTCCACTAAAATTATATCCTCAGATGCTGTTCTGCTAAAATGGTGAAAGGCTGGATCAATAAAACTCTCAGAGTATAACTGTAAGAATTATTTGTTGCCAAATAGTCTTCCTGTTAGGTTGCATAAGGCTACTGTATTTCATAGTGAGCCTTACTCATCACTATTTATATTTGATTCTGCAAACATAATTTACAATTAAATTGCTGCCTAATTGTGAGGAGAAAGTGAACGGACTGTGAAACCAAAGTCAAGTTTTAGTGTTTATATGTATGCAAATATAAACATAACTTGAACAACGTCATATTTGATTTTCAAAGCCGGAATTCAGTGAAAAAGAAAGGACTGGGAAAAATCAGAATCACTTATTTAGTGAAACTTGTAAGTTTCACAGGAATTTAAGTCCTACTGTTGTTGATATGAACACACATCACCTCGACTGACCGTTCGCTGTTACGAGTGGCTCTTCTTTTCCACATGCCGGATTTCTTTCTTCGCTTTCACCTTAAAAACTTCTCCCTGCTTTAAAAGGAATGCACATATTAAGATTTCATAGTGAAAGAGTTTTAATTATAAAGCAGTTCCATTCTGATCTTTGGAGGCTGGAATAGGAGAAATGAAACAGTTTTTAAAGCACTTTGTCACTTCATCTCCAAAAATACATACAATCTATTTGGCTTAACCACACAGTTTAGCACCATCAAGGCAAGCTAGAGAGCACTGTCAAATGAATATAACATAATTGTATTTGACAATAATTCAGTAGGTTAGTGATAAATCAAAATAATGAGCGGCCTGTCCATTTCCTATAGTAAGCTAAAAGAAACAGTTACCACACTCACAAGCACCCAAACACCAACGCTTAAAAATATCAGTAAATTATGCCTTTTTAAGGCCAGCAGAATTGTAAGCAATCTGTTGTAATGAGACTCAGACTTCTTAGTTAAGTACTAATCCTTGTTGATCTGAGGGACTTTTTAAGTTAATGGAATTACCAATGAGTTCCTTTTACTGTCAGACCAAGGAGGCATCTATTTTCCATAAACAAATCATCTCTTCACTGAATATCAGGAATAGTTTCTTGAAAGCAACGTTGTTGCACAAATACTCAGCTTTTTTCTTAACAGAAAACACAAGAAGCCTTTTCAATTTTCTGATGTACTACTTCTGATAAATTTTCCGTTCACTTTTTCTTATGTAAACATAGTCTATCGAAGTTTCTGTTTTTAAATTGGAAAGGGTAAAGACTAGAAACAAGTGAAGAATAACCGGATATGTTTTCTCTGACAGATAGGGGTTGTCTGGAGGGATTCTTTAACTGGCACATGGGAAATGGGCTGTTATAAACCCAAAGAGGGGAACCCCCTCCTCAGACCAGGATGGTGGAATTCAGATTTAGAACATGCTGGAGAGAGAAAATGTATGGATCTGATGTGCAGATCTTGAACTGAGCCTTCTGCCATTCTAACTTTAAAGTCTGTGCATTTGGAGTGCCCTCCACCCGTGTCCCAACAGGCACTCAGCTGACAGCCAAGCCCTAGGTGGGGCTGAGGCACTGCTCAGATGTTTGGTGGTGAAGGGTCAAGGGTTTTGTCTTCTTTCTCCCTCAAACTGGCACATTTTGTCCCCCATAAATGACCTTATCTTTGTGAAAACTCTTAAAAAAAATGTAACATTAAAGAATGTTAGGAAGAAAGTATTTTTCTTTGACCCTGATCAAATGCATAAGATGTCAGAAGCAGCAAACACTTCAAGATGCCACACTGCAGATGCCAGCCTGTTAGCAGCAGTTTCTAAGGAGCGCACAAAGCTTTTGTCCTCTACATTCTCTTTGGCAATCCCTCTCCATTACCACTTCATGTTTTCTCTCTTGTGGGATAACAATTCGTCTTAATACTTTCCGAGTGATCTGTAGGAAGCAATGGTGAAAAGTAGAGATTTTTCTGTTTCAAGAGGTGACACTACAGTACAAAAGTAGCAGAGTTTTTAATGCAGAAAATGTAAATTTCAAGAGAAGCACAAAATCTCAATGATGATTACTTTTCTGGTGATGAGGTTGCCTTCTTCATCGGTAAATTGTTCTTCTGTGACAGATTCACCAGGAATGTTTTTTGCTTCCTCTCCCTAAAGGATGTGGCATAAAGATTAGCAACATACCAGATGGAGAAATCTCCACAGCACTCCAAACACCACATACATGCTCTGGAATTTTAGAGAAAAAGGCTGTAAATTCTACTTGCTACTCCAGTGCAAGGGGAAAGGCTGACTTCACTGACAGTTATTTAGCAGTCAACAGCATTCAAGCATTAAACCTCAATTATGTATAAAAGTGATGGTTAGCAACAAATTCCAGAAGGAAGAATTTGAAAATACATAATTATAGGATGCAGTTACATACTGGAAACCGAAAGGCTTCATATGTTGAAACAAATTTTATCCAATGATGAGAGCTCTGATTAGATTGTCTCACTTTGAGCACTTTTCTTCATTAGTTCTACCAAATCTCTAGAGATGTTTGTGGATTGAGTTTTATCTAACTTGAACTAAGATAGTACCTTAGTTTGGGCATGACATTTATCACTCTGGTTTATTTAAAAATTCATTCACTAAAGATAATATATACATTTTTCAAAAGATTATGAGAAAAGTTCAGGGTACAGAGAGAATCTTGTTTTAAAGACTAGCTCTTTCATAGCTCTTAAAATAAGTGAGAATAACTGTGTCTGATATATGTACATAGTTTATACACTGAAGTATCTTCATTACCATAGGCAAAAAAATAGATAAAATCAATTTCAAGGGAATTTAAGTTTATATCTTCTGATCTTTGCACCCACATAAGAACACAAAATTGCTTTGTAATAAGAAAAAAGAATGAGAACAAAACAATAGTGTTTTAGTCTTTATTCTGTCATTTTAAACCAGAACTGCCTCTCTACTGGTGGGAACATATGGCAATCATAGAATGTGCTCACCACTGGCTGGGATTGACAAAATTATCAGAGCCACTATCCTTTACATTCCAGTAAAACAGAGTTAGAATCTGGCTTTCTGATTTGTTATCTAACTTTGAGGGGGAAACTGAAAGGTTTCACACTGAGTTTTAAAAATAGAATACATTCTTAACTCCCCAGGGTGGGCGCCTACTTTCCTGTTCATAGACAGCTTGGTGGATTTAGATGGCTTCATGGTATCTCTCCACTGGCTCTGTGATTGTATCATAAGACACACTGCTCAGCAAAGATAGCACCATATCTGCAACACATTACCTTCATTTGTGTTTAACTTACATTTGTGCCACTTATAGTTTGGGAGAACAAGGATAAACATCTTAAAGATGGACTTGTGTTCCAGGAACCTATTGATCCATCAGTCAAACTTCTTACTGAAAAGGTGAAATGGATAATGCTGCTTGGCAGTGTACAGATGTGGTTTTGTTTTGTTTTAGGGAAAATGGCCAATCACAAAGATAGCTGCCTTCCTGGGACAGTGAGATTCTAACTCTTTGTGTTACTGGAATGGAAAAGATAGTGGCTCTGATAATTTTGTCAGTGCCAGCCAGTGGTGAGAACATTCAATGATTGCCATATATCACAATTAGCAGAAAGGCGGTTGCGCTTCAAAATAACAGAATAAAGACTAAAACACTGTTGTTTTGCTAACAAAGTTTTGTTCTCATTCTTTTTTCTTATTACAAAATGATTTTGTGTTCTTACAGATTGTGGGTGCATAGTTCATGACAATGGGTGGGACATTTAACTTGTTTTTCCTCACTGTGGTATACAGGTGGAATGAACATAAAGTGTTTCTTGCTCTTTTTTAGCTCATCCCCAATCTTGCTTATGACTAGTTTGAATCAGCGCAGTGAAGAGAGGGGAAAAAAACTGGAAAAATGTAGAGGTCTTGTATAAATGCACTAAAATTTGCAGCAAGTTTTTAATGGGAATGTTATTTGTATTTTTTATGGTTGGTGGTTTTAAATGTTTGGAATAAACTCAAAATTTTATTTTAAAAGTAAAGTCATAAAGCAAAAAAGCCAGTAAAAAGTGATGAAAGTTTTCATTATAGTTTAAACAGGAATGACAAATATTTTTCAGCTAACTTTTGGAAATGTCCAGCTCTTTGAGCGATAGACAATTAAAGAACCCAGGAAAGTCCCTAAAATGGCATCCTACTGGGCAGGTAATGAATGAATTGAATCTTTTTGTGGGAAAAGATGTCAGCTAATTTTTAAATTGTTTAGACAGTCTCTGAAAGGACCATGCAGTAGGCGTATGTGTAAGCATAGTGAATACATACAAGTATATTGACAGAGTAATAGGCTTACAAAAAGCAAAACCCTACTTATAAATAATAAGGCAAAATAAACAGGAAGAACAGATTAGACAGGAGTTGAATAAATAGATAGGGAAGACAGGAAGGAGTTATAAAATATGTTTTTAAAATATTTATCCATCTTTAATTCTGTCAAATATATTAGAGACCAAATGTTACCTAGGAGAGAGCTCTGTGACCTCTCTTCAATGGGAAAAAGTAATCTCAGTGAGTTTTTAAAGTTCTTGAAAACACTTTGCACTTCTAAGTAAACAAAATTGTCCCCGTGGTCTTGTCGACAGTATTATTTCTGGAAACCTTCCATCCTTTCCCCACGACCATTATAAAGGAAAATTATAGAACACGTGGTGTTCACATTTCCAGCTATGGTGACTGCCTTAATGAAAATTAACTGTAACTCCTTTCGAACTCCTGCTAGCAGCACTGCATTTTATAACTTTTATTTCTGTGAATTTTTGAAAAAAGTGGAAGAGTGGCAATATGAAATGTACCTATTTGCTTTGATGTATACATTAAAACTTGAATTGTCCAAAAATAGGATTGTTGCGATCTATTTAACAAAAGGCAAGTACTAAGCAATGTGAATAGTATTACGCATTTTCATATTATGAGAAACCTAGCTGAGGATGTGTTTGTATATGTACTATCTGTATTTGTATGTGTGTGTAGAAACAGTGAAGCTTATGAATAGTGGTTGCCTCTGGGAAATGGAATGAATGGATAGAGCTTATCATAGGTTTAAACTACCTGATTTAGGGGAAACGTGCATGTAAGCTCTTACTTAGAAAGCCAGTAAAAATGCTGAGAATTTGAAATAAAAATGCAGTTGTACTTTATAGTAAAAATTCAGTTACTTGAATTTTATGAAACTTCACAATAGTCTGGTTGTGTGTTGGTTTAAAGTTTTTTACCTTTGCAGTCACTGGATTTGCTTAGCAAATAAGATAAACTCAGGACTGGTTAGTAACTTAAATTGCTTCTAAGCATTTGAAGCCCTTGTGATATTATCTAATTATATAGAGATTGAAATTTTATCTGCATATTTATTTAAGTCCTATGACAAATGGGATAATTTGTTAACCTGACTCATTCTATATTACATATGAAAAAAAAAATAAAAAAAAAAAAAAAAAAAAAAAAAAAAAAAAGGTTAAAACTTCATAGAAAAAGAATGGATCCTTTTTGAA